TAGGGTTTAGGGTTGAGTGTTTAGCAACTTAGGATTTAGGAGTTGGGATTGATGATCTAGAGGTTTGGGTGTAGCCTAGGCTTTCCGCCCTGTAAATCCGTTTTCACCGTAAACTCTAAACCCTAAAACCTAATTTCTAAACCCTAAACCCAACACACTAAACCCTAAACTCTAAACCCTAAACCCTAAACCCTAAACTCTCCACCCTAAACCCTAAACTCTAAACCCTAAACCCTAAACTCCACACCCTAAACCCTAAACACTAAACTCTAAACCCTAAACCCTAGATTACATCCTACACCCTTTCTGAAGACCCCAGGCCTTGCCCAAGCCTTTGAAGCTTGCACAGATGAGGGCGGTACCACCGGAAAAGGAGATGTCCTCTTTGGGAATGAAGCTCCGGGTTTAGGGTTTAGGGTTCAGGGGTTCAGGGGTTTAGGGGTTTAGGGGTTTAGGGGTTTAGGGTGTAGGTTTTAGGGTTCAGGGTTTGGGGTCCGGGCTTCGGGTTCAGGGTTCATTTGGGCACTACAGTGCGTTCTATGGGCAGTGTAGCGGTTCAGGGCTACGGGATGCAGAACTCAAAGTAGGGGGTAGGGTTTAGGGTTTAAGGTTTAGGGTTTGGACGAAACATGCAAGATATGACAACACATCGAAATTTGCCCTGGGAAAACCATTGTTCAATCCTTTTTTGCGCTTAAGAGCAACTCACTACAAACCCTAAACCCTAAACTACTATGGAAGCTTCCAAGTTTCGTTCTAAACCGTTTGGATCTCACTTGATGAATCCGTTGTATGAGGATCCCGAAGGTCTAGGGGCACCTGGCCCGTGAAACCCTGGTATATTCTGTTATACTATGGTACATTATGGCGTACGATGGTATATTATGGTAATGTAGGGGTTATGTGATTATGGGGATAATGGAAAAGAAAATGAAGACTGCTATCTAGCATCTCAACCCCGCAACAAAAAAATCGTTCAACCCCAAACCTTAAACCCCACTTGACCATAATCGCGCTGGCCTAAAACCCGAAAACCCCAACCCCCAAAACTGAGCATCTTCAAGGGCAAATTACAGGAATCCCTCAGTTATCAGGATAAACAAAGGAACCTGAAAATGGAGTGGGGTTAAGAGCTGCGGGTTTCTAAAAATGGTCCCCAAAACAGGGACTGTAGTGGTTTGTTGTCTATGTCAGGGTTTAATTTAGGGTTTAGGGTTTCCTGGTTTTGTGGTTTGTTGCCTATGTCAGGGTTACCCTGTTTATGGAGACTACCGATGCCAGCCATAAGGTAAAGCCCACAGCCCAAACAACTAATAATGCTAATATTTATAATATTAATATTACTAATATTAATACAAATACTATTAATATTAATATACTTAATAATATTCGTACTAATAATATTAATATCAATATTATTAACTTCTGCATGGCCAGTCCGTGTCTGCATTGGCTTCCAGCAAAGCGCGCACAATCTCCAGTTGGCCCTTTTCCTTTCTCAGGGTGTTGGGATTCGGGATACGGTGCAAGGTGTCTATAGTTGCGTGCAGAAAAAATCTCCGGATGGTCTATTCAAAAATTCGGGCACTTCCTTCCGGACCTCCATCTACGAAGACCACCTTCTGAACGCACCCACGCTCAAGCACAGCGAAGGTTTAGCGAAGGTTTGTACCATTCATAGTACTTGGTGCTTTCCAAAAATGGGTGGGACACCGATATAGACCCCAGATCACTACAGTCCTTACTATACAAACCCCCAACAAAGGGATGCTGACCCCAAAAAGGAAAACCTAATTGTGGGAAATCCAACTTACACCATCCATACTGAAACCTCCCTAGATCCTCAAAAAAGATAATAGCTTTTCTCTTGAGCTTCTGCTGCTCGGATGAGGGCTGTTCGACCAGACCGGTTCCTGGCAGTCAGAGAAAACCACATGGGCAATTTTCTAAATCAGCTTCCTCCTTCTAAAGCTCTCAAATCGGAGGTGACCAGATTTGAGATATTCCAAGGTTGACACGCATGATAACTTATGATAACCCCAGGTGTGTGTATTACGAATCGCAACGGCAAGTACAAAACGCTGCTGTAGGATGTGAACTGGTTATAGCTTGGATTTCCGTACCTTGGTTCTTGTTGCTTATCCTACATTTTCAGGTTCTGGGTTTAGGGTTTAGGGTAGGATCTTTGTTTGTGGCGGAGCGGACTTGTGTCTTGGTCATTTGCATGTGAGACAGCCAGACCGGTGCTAGCAAACGAGAGAAGGTTTCATTTTCTTGTTTGTGGTCGCGCAAATTGGACACTAAGTATATAATATTATATACGCTCACCAATATATAGTCACGACATACTGACAGCCCTACCTCACATAACCTAATCCCTCTACACCACTATACTATCTCGGTTGCAATTTCATTTCATCGGTTTGAACCCTGCTACCTAAGCCCAAACTATCCGTATGGGCCCTAGACAAGCTATATAGCCCTTCCAGGGACCCCTAGACGGGGTTGCTCTTTCATCCTCCACTAAGTTCAACCTTTAGCTGCCTTAACATGAAATCAAGGAACCCCAAAAGTGTTATAGTGTCAAAGGTTGTCGTAGAGCCACACATAAAATTTAGGGTCATGCAGGAGTTCGATCCGTTTTCCACAGCCGGGCCTTCCAGAGGGGATAGAGATTCAGGGCGTAGGGTTTAGGATTTGTAGGTTTGAGGCAGTATCCCCTTTAATAACCCCTGTAATACTCCCCCATATAATTCTCGATATAACTTACTTCAAGGAATTTAGGCTACAGCTCATATAGGGTTGTAGGCATTCGGACTCTAAACCGTATGAGGTTCAGGCTTTGAGCTATAGAGGCGATGCTCCCAAACAACATAACACCCTACCCTAAACCCTAAACCAGACTTTTGGGCGGATCTAGAAAGTGGATCCCCCTTGAGGGGTCCTAGAAATTACCCAATATAAGAAAGGGTAGCATATTGGGGTCTCTAATTTCTAGATCATCCCAGGGTCTGGGGACACCCTAAACCCTCGACCCTACCACCCAGAGCGAGTAGCGAGAAACCCTAAACACCAAACCCTAAGTATACTCCGTATGTGCTCGCTGAAGGGTCCTCAAATAATCCAACGCAAGGCACTGCGATTGGGTTTAGGGTTTAGGGCATAGGGTTCTTCAACTGAACCTTAAAACCCCGACAAGTACTTGGATGCTCAGAGGGCTTCATTAATAGGCGGATTCCGAATCCACCGCTAATCTCTTAACAGCACGAAGCTACATACTCACCCCTTGCAAGCGTGCAAGTACGGACTCTCTAGCATCCTAAGCCCTTAAATCCTAAACCCTAAAGCCTAAACCGAATCCTAAACCCTCAAGGCCTAACAAGCAGTTAAATTACCCTCCCAAAAAATCACATGGAACCCCAGACAGGCTCACTTCAAAAGGACAGTATAGGGCTTAGCGTTTAGGGTATAGGGTTTAGGGTATAGGGCTCAGAGTGTAAGGATTTTCTCCGGTATTGGGCTTAGGGTTTAGGATTGAGGGTTCATATCGGGGTGAAAGGTAGTTTGGGGGAGAGTATCCCGCATAATCAGGACAGGCTCTGCAAGTTCAGCGCGGCCCGATGCTCCAGCAGCAGGGCCACAATCCTCGGTTTAGGCTTTCGGGCGTTTAGGGTTGTGGGGCACAGCAGGGATTTTCGCTTTTGGGTGGATCTAGGATTACTCAGGACTTGAGGTGTTTAGGGTTGAGGTCTTCAGGAAAGTTCTCGTCATCAGGCGCAGGGCGTAGGGGGTTGAAAGTGTTGGAGTCTGGGAATTTCTACAAATAGAGGTAAATTCTTTCCATGCACTACACTGGAGATGTGGTCAAGCGAATATGGGCGGTTGCCACACTGATGGTCCCTTGTTGGATCCCTATTATAATTCCGACCCTAATATGTAAAGTACCCAGAAAGGGACCATAATTTTGACAACCACCCACCCTAAACCCTAAACCTAAACCCTTAACCCTAAACCCATATAGATAAAGTCACCTCAAACATCTTGTTGGTTGTCGGCCTGAAAGGGACGTTGCTCTGGATGTCCCCGGAGCCCACTCAACCCCCAAATACTATCATCCTTATTATGGGGACCCCCAAAAAGGGTACCCTAATTTTTGGGAAACCTTAAACCCTTATCCCCTAAACCCCCTAAACCCTAAACCCTAAACCCTAAACTTTCAGGACTTTTGCATGTTTGGGACCTCGTCTACAGCTGCTGTGAATCATTCTTTCGGCGGCCCCTTGCAATGCCCGGTGTTGATCTGGGTTTAGGGTTTAGGAATCGCTACAAGTAGTGCCTAAAAGCGGCTGATAGCTTGACTACACCGAAGTCTCTACTAGAATTCATTAGAAGCAAATAGTGTCCAATAAAGCCTGACAGTGTCACGACAATGGTTTCTTGCAGGTTGACAAATCTCTGATTGGGGGGGGATATGTTTGGGGTGGTTAAAGCATCCTATGAGTTTTGGGGTACTCTCGAGAACCCTAAACCCAAATGCACCTTAACCCTGCACCCCTTTGGGATCCACTGTATCCCATAACAGCCCTCAATTCTCCCAGTCTCGATTCCACATTTAGCTGCGGCTACCAGGCCTAAACTAATATGAGAGGTTGGGTAGCCCCATCCCGGGAAGCAGGGACTGAGGTAGACACCTGATTGACAAACCCCCCCTCCCCTTACCAGGGATTATGATGAGGATCCTGACCGGGTTTACGAATCATGGGTCTACACTAAGCCCTAAACCCTAGACCCTAAATAGTAGTTTCCGTTTTCTGTTCCATTATCCCTATATAATCCCTATATCCCCCCTATATTACAATATTACCCCGTTAAGGCCAGGTTTACATTAAGGTTTAAGGCCTAAAGAACCTTTTCAGCCTCAACCCATCCCAGAAACTCGCACCCTATTTCCCCCAACCTCGCTGAGTGTTCCAAGGAACAGTAGCACTACTCTTGATGGCGGCGATCTTGCACCACACTAAAGCATAATTAAGTACCTCAATCACCAAATTTCCAGTACTGTAGGGGTCCCATGTAGTACGAGATTTCCATCCCTCTGCCCTAGAGTCTAAGGTTCCCTAAGCCCGAAACCATAAGCCTTCATAAGCCCGAAGCCCTACACCCTACACCCTAAGCCCCAAACCCCTAAACCCCAAACCCTAAACCCCAAACCCTAAATCCCTAAACCCTAAACCCTAAAGCCCCAAAGCCCTAAACCCCTAAATCCTAATCAAAAAACGCGAAGGCTCTTTTTCTCCCCACGGAAAGCAGCAAGCATCAGCGTTGTTTCACCCTGGTTGTTCCTTAGTGATTTTACCGCCTGGGAGCCTAGAGGGAAGCCTAAGAAAATTGTTACCCCAAACCCTACACCTTAGAGGTTTAGGGTTTAGAGTTTAGGGTTTAGGGTTTAGTAGGGTCTGGTGTAGGGAATGTATGATATAGGGATTTTATAGGGAATATATTCCCTTTCTCTCTCTACGAACCACCAGAAAGAAAAGGTGCTACTAAACCTGGAATCCAACATGCTAGGCCTTCTTACAATTGCTCACTTGATCCACACTGTAGCTCATTCCTTCCGCGGGCATTGCGCCTTCCATGCCACTTCTAGATCTGGGGCATTGTTGGACACATCTTTTAGATGTGACTATATTGACACTCGCAACGTAGGGTTTAGGGTTGAGGGGTAGGGTTAAGTAGGGGAATGGAAGAGGAAACGGAAACTACTGTGCTATTCTGATTTCAGGGTCCAGGGCACCATCCAAATTCTATCAGAAAGCTCCAGAACAAACAAACACAAGTTTCTCACAATCATGGGTTCCTAGTTGGAATCCTTGTGCAAGGGGTATGATGTCTTGAGCCTATTGCCCGTACCATAGACCCCCAACCCGAACATGCTCCAGATTTGAAACGCCCAGGTTCTGCAAATCTTTGTCTGCGCCTGCGAACAAATGCTTTGAGGTGAGCATAGGCTTATGGTGTACGGTTTGAGTTTCATTTTGCGGCTACCCTAAACCCGAAACCCTGAACCCTAAACCCTAATAAACCTGTTGTACCCTGTTACCGTCTAGGGTTGATGGTTCAGGGCCTGTGTGGGCGCACCCGGTACAGCTCAGTTCAGCACAAATCCATATGTCCGCAACTTCGAACGCTTTGGGGTTTAAAGTTTGCCGAGATTCCAACTGCTGATAAGAAGGAGAGTATAGAACTGGACAAATCTCTATACAGGACAAGGAATGGCTCATTTCGAGAAACTCTCATTTATTTGAGAAACCCATCCAGATATGCGTTGACACAACGAGCTATAATCCATCTAGTCGCAAACTTAGCTAAATGACAAATCCCCCAAGCCTACAAGTATGTAATTACGTAGATTTTTCACCATCAAACCACACGCCAGCCTGCTTCCAGAAGTTGTTGCAAAAACCTGTCCAAGGCAGGGTCTATGTGTAGCTTTGGGCAGCTTTTCTTGGAGATACGGAGGTGGATGAAGAATTCATGCCGCGAACCCAAAGTCCGAAAGATAGGATTAGGGCTTAGGGCTTAGGGCTTAGGGTTGGGCTCCTCTATTTCAGCCCAGTAGATGCTCGGTACTGCCCCACCCAGTAACAGTCTATATTCGGGGTCCTATTAAGGGCTATATATGACCATATTGAATTTATTATCCAACTGTTACTGAGGGGGGGGCAGTACCTAACCTAAACCCCTAAACCAACAATTACACAGGCTTCCACTGATGCCACACATGGCAGGTCGCTTGGGCTGGGCATTGAGTTGCTGCTCATTCGATTTTAACAAAGCACGTTTGGGGTTTAGGCATGCAACACACATTTTAGGAAAACCATGAAGACCCGAACCCAACCCAACCCTAAACCCTAAGCCCTAAACCCAAGCCGAACTCTCTCCTAGAACTTGAGCCCATAACCCTAAGCGAGCCTCATCATAATCCCGGTCTCCATCTCATCGCCCATCTGATTCTCCGGTCTCCCTAAACCCCAAACCCTGTCTCCCTACCTAGTCGTAACGTAAACCCTAAGCCCTATACCCTTTTGCCCGACCAAGTCCTCAACCCCTAGGCCTCACAAGCCTTAAACCCCCAAAACCCTTAAGTTGGATGTTGCCTTACTCGGCTTGAACTGAGCCGCATCAATGAAGGGTTCCTGGGTCGTATCCCCCAGGCGTACCCCTAACAGATTTTCCCAACACCGCCCCAGCATAGCTGTTATTTGAACCAGTGTTTTTCCTTAGGCTTCCATAAGAGGGGTTTAGGGCTTAGGGCTCCCAAAACCCAATGGTATAACCTTAGGGATACAACCCTGGAACCCTTGAATCGATCTGTAAACCCTATACCCTACATAGTCTTTTCTATTCTCCATTCCCTGAACAGCTATTCAAAACCCTAAGCCATTACATCCCTATACATCCCTACAGACTGCCTAATGCCTCTATATATATATATATAACATGTTTCTATCCCCACGTAATCCCTAGCTAACCCCTATAAACCCGGAACCCTACACCCTAAACCCCAAACCCTGAACCCCAAACTCTAAACTCCAAACCCCAACCCCAATCTCCAAACCCCAAACTCAACCAAACTGCAAGCCCCAATCCCAAAACCTTGAACCCAACACCCTAAACCCCCAAACCCTTAAACTCCTAAACCCGTAAACCCTAAACCCTAAACCTCAGGGACAGTGAACCCTAAACCCTAACCCCTAAACCCAAAATCCCCAGACCCCTTAACCCCTAAACCTTAAATCCAACCTCATCTTGCATTTTTGCGCTGCCAGGGCTAAAGCTGTATGGCCATCGGGGTCTGCAACATCCTTTGGGCGTTTAGGGTTTGTGGGGTTTAAGGATTTAAGGGTTTAAGGGTTTAAGAGTTTAAGCGTTTAAGGGTTTAAGGGTTTAGGGTTCAGGGTTTAGGGTGTAGGGCGTCTTGCTGCGTGGCGGCTGGATGTAACATGTAGGAATTGCGCCCCAACACACCCAGGGGTGGGGGGGGCATATCTGGCGACGGCGCATCTCTCGTGCCCAAAAAACCAAGAGTTGGTGTGTTGGTTTATTCTTCCCATCCCCTGCTTGCGCAGGCATCCACCCAACTTTATTCCTTTTCGGGGTTCGGGCTGACGCCCTAAATTCCCACTTCTCTGTAAACTCTTGAATAAAACAATGGGCCCGGCGGGGCCTCTGCAACGGCCTCTGAAGGCGTTCAGAGGGCCTGGGCCTCTCTGAAGGCCTCCAGCCCCCGACATTGGCGTGAAAGGGAGCAGACCGCCCTAATTTTCAACATTTTCCGGGCAGCCCTGGAGCGAGCCCTGGCAAGGAGCCCCCCAGCGCGCCCAGCCCGCCCATGCTGGGCTTCGAGCTTTTTAGAAACACAATGAATCACAGAAAAGGAGAGGTGGCCCCCAGGCCAGCACCTGGAGGTGCAGCTCACGCTCTAAAAACTCTTTAGGCTTGAATAGTCGGGTGTTAATAGCTGCCGGATGTAATTCTGGGTCCAGGCACCCTAGAAAAGGGTGGGAACGGCCTGCGCAGGCCTGGGTGGGAATCTTAGGTTTAGGGTTTGGGGTTCAGGGTTTAGGGGTTAGGGGTTAAGGGTTTGAGGGTTTAGGGTTTAGGTTGAGGGTTTAGGGATCAGGGTCATATTGAGATATCGGGATATGTCGGGATGATGTACGGATAGAAGGATAGATATTTTCCATATATGTATATGTGTGGCTTCGTCTACCTCGGACCTGTTCTCGGCGCTCGATCTTCGGGTTTAGGGTTTAGGGTTTTACGGTTTAGGGTTTAGGGTTACCTTTGTTTGTTTTTCGGGCTGCAGGGCTAGAGTTCAGGTTGTACTGCTCGAGATACAACCATCAAGCCAATCAATATGGATTATGGGGCTTATTATGGACGTTTCAAAGGATTCCAAGCCTACGAGTTGTAGGGTCTAGGGTAGAAGATTTAAGGGCTTCGCAACATGCTAAGGTAATTTTTGAAAGTTGTATTCCCTTATTCCCTACCAACGCCCTGTAAGCTTTGGGGATTAACCCTAAACCCTAAATCCTCGTAGGTAGTTGGAGTCACAGGCAACGCTGTCCTTGTCCGCGCCAGCTTCTAGAAGCAAACTCAACATGTCGGCCTTCGAGGTCCTAGATTGCATTTGGGGGTTTTTAGGGTTTAGGGTCTTGAGCTGTTTTGGGGTTTAGGGGCTTCAGGGTCTAGGGCTTCCGGGTCGGGGGGTTGAAGGTTTAGGGGTTTAGGGATAAGGGCTTGCGGTTTGCCGCTTTCAGGGTTGCAGGTCGAGGTGGGAGGCGGCGTCGTGAGCATCTTCACGCACCTTCAACATTTTTAGCCCATGTAACATGTCCAAGTTCCTGGGAGCATCCAAATAAATCAAAACCCCACCGAAGAAGTCTAAACGCCAATCCTTGAAATGTATTCCTACTTCCTAACATGCAATCCGCAGACCGGACTTCCTGAACCCCAAACTCAAGTCAATACCCCCGACCCCTGAAATTCCAAGCCTTGAAGCCTGAAAGTTTTGAAGCCCAAAGCCCTCACCCTTTGCTTATAGTTTAGGGCTTAAGGTTTAAGGTAAGTTGAATATTGTAAAACGAGTGTTATTTGTAATCTGTAAGACACTTCTTGGTTATAACCTGCGCTTTCCCTACTTTCAACCGCTAAACACGATAAACCACTACCCTATCCCCGTCACCATTTCATTTTTGCATGTTCCTCTTCATTTGATTCACCATCATCCCTCATGTCCCCATGGTTACCGATACATCCCTACAGTACAGGTCCTTATTTATCCCCACATGTCCCTAAACCCTACACACTAAACCCTTAACTTGGCTCTAAACCCTTCCGCACTTTTACCGGAGGCCTCTGTGACGCGCAGGCCGCGAGAAGTGCCGTCTGCCCATGTTCGTTCCTACAGGGTTTAGGGTTCAGGGTTTAGGGTTTGGGGTCTGGTCACGGCATGGGGTGCTCGCTGGGGCTCGCACCGGCGCGTAACTCTTGACCCACCCTATGACCACCCTGAGTTCAAACAATTTTGGGTTTAGTTCCTAAAGCCTGATAGGCATCCCGGCGGTATCAGGCAGCAACGATCGGGGCCGCTATTCAATTGGGGACCGGGACTTGACTCGAGCTGCGAGGTTACTGCAGAGGCTGCGTGGGACAGCCGCGCTCTGAATGGCGATGGCTTTGTAGCCTGCCGGGATAGGTTGACATCCAAAGCCACGCAAGGACCGTCATAGTGGGTTACTTCCGAGGCTGTGTGGGATTGCCGCACTCTCAATTGCGATGTGTCTGCGAGGCTGTTTTGCCGCATACGTTGGAACCCAGGCACGCAAGGACCGTCAGCGGTCGCGGCAAGAGCGGGGAAAGCTGGGAGGCTGCCTTGTGGCTGTTGTGACGGAGTATTTCCAAAGGGCGGCACTCAGAATTGGTCTGGCCCATCCCTAGAGGCCCGCGACGGGGGCGGGGGGGGCCACAGGAAGTTGTTGGGTCTACAGCACATCTATAATGCGGCTTATAACACCTTTGTGGGAAGGCACCGGTCAGGGTGACACAACATGAATGGCAACAATGTCCCAGCTTCAAATGGGCTCCATGACGTTTTTTGCCGCTCGCGAAGCTCGGGCAGCTTCGGGCTCTGCGTGGCGGTTGTCGAGCCCTGTAGGGTTTAGGGGTTTAGGATATTATAGGGCTTAGGGTTTAGGATGTAGGGGTTTAGGGTTTACTGGTCTAGGGCTTAGGGCTTTGGAGCTTATGGGATTTTGTTGTTTCTTGCCTTGAGGCATCCGGTCCTCTTAACATCACAAAACCCTAGACTCTAAACCATAAATCCTACAACGAACGCTCTACACGCTACAATGATTTTTTCTGACCCTGTACCCCTTCTAACGAACCCTGTACACCTCATAACCCTGTAAACTCTGTAAACTCTATAAACCTTAAACGTCAAACCTAAGCCGTATGATTCGGACCCAGAAACCTGTAATTCACCGCGGCTCGTGCTTCCAGCAGCAGCTGCACCACTCCAACATGATCGTTTGTGCATGCACGAATGAGAGCCTTAGTGCCAACCAGCCAAGCACCCCAAACCCTAAAGACTCGGAACCCTCGACCCTAAGCCCCAAAGCCTATAAACCCCATAGGCCCTAAAGCCCAGACCCCAAAACCCCCAAACCCTAAACCCCAAACCAAACCGGAAGCTCTGATCCCTAAGCCCGGCACCATGAAGCTGCAACTGGAGCTTCCAGAAATTGAGGGTCCTTGTTTGGAAGCCCCTGTAAAACTGAAATCTCCTTAGACCAAAGCGCATGTAAAGCATGCTTAATGATCCCGTAGAGTACGGAATGAAAAATGGTTCCTAAAGAGACTATAGAGAGAGGATTAATACAACAACGCCGTTACCGCCGTCGCAATGAGAGCTGCTGCTTACAATTTTTCCTACTTCCACTGCAGCTACAACTACTGTTTCTTCAAATTGGATAGCAAGACCCAAAACCAAAACGCTACACAACGCGTATTTGACAGTTTCCTAAAGCCCGAATCACTCAACACTAGATCCTAAACCCTACACCTTGTCCCTAATCCCTGAACCTTCTCCTTCCCCTACACAACAAACCAAGACACGGTGTCCTTCTTGCCGCGTTGCGGCAAGTCCTTATCAGCACCTGCTTTCAACAGCAGACGTGCCACCTCCAAGCAAGCTGCCGGTCAAAAGTTACATTCGAGAAGTTAGGGTTTAGGGGTGAGGGCTTAGAGGTTAAGATAGGGTTCAGCGCGGTTTAGGGTTTAGGGCTTGGGGTTTAGGGTTAGGGTTGAGGGTTATACACCCTAAATCTTGTCAATCAGAACCTACCAAAGCCAAGGCACCTCCGTGTGGCCATTGGTTGACGCACACAGTAGAGGCGCGCCATACACAGACTCTTCTTCATCCTGGAACTCTGAAAAATGGGGATTTAGATTTAGAGTTTAGAGTTTAGGGTTTAGGGTTTAGAATTTCAGGTTTAGGATAATTTTGGCTTTTGTCCTTAGGAGCTCCCTCTTCCAGCAGCCAACGAACAGCTTCGGTGCGACCTGCGGTAAGCTGGGGAGGTTTAGGGTTTCGGGTTTAGGGTTCAGGCGGGATCTAGAATTTAGGGTTTAGGGATTTAGGGTTTAGAGTTTGGGGATTCGGGGTTTAGGGTTTTCGGATTTAAGGTTTAAGGTTTTGGGGTTTAGGCATTTACGGCTTGGGGTTTATGGTTTGGGGTTCATAAAAGGCTGAGCGGAACCCAGCAATTCTGATGAAAGATGCAGTGCGATGTGGGTGGGAGGCGAAGAAGAAATTCGGGAAAATGTGGAGGAACGCAGTTCAGGGTTTAGAGTTTAGGGTTTAGGGTTTAGGGCTCAGGGTTTAGGGTGACAACAGGGAATGCAAACATACGACTGAATGTATGCCACGAACTTTTGGATGCCCCAAGTCACATAGTCCAAAGTTCTGAGATTCTGTAGAAATCGCCCTCCCAGACCCCCAATCCACACGGCTTAGGGCTTAGGATTTTGGGCTCAGGGTTCCAAAGTGACCGACCCCCTTTCCCTCTGGCGGTGAGCGGTCTCGGAAAGCCCTAAACCCAAAACTAAAAACCCTGAGCCCTAAACCCCAAACCCTCGACCCTAGACCCTGAACCCCCAACAAAACCTGTAAGCTACCTAGCCACGGCAGTTGCCACGGAGTTTTGGGCATGGTATACGGACGATGATAAACCCCAAGCCCAAAGCCTTAAACCCAAAACCCTTACACATCCCCATATGTTCCTGTATACCCCTGCCCAGGCACCTATAGCCCCAAAACTGATTTGAGCCTCTCTTTAAGCCACCCTAAACCTTACGCCCTAAACCCTAAACCCTGAACCCTGCACCCTAAACTCTAAACCCTAAACTCTCACCTTGTCGGGCGGCACAATTCAGAGCGGCGCTGCCGACCCTCTGCATGTCAAGTGCTGGCCCGATCTCCTTCCTGGAGTTTAGGGTTTTCAGTTTAGGGTTTAGGGTTAAGGGTCTAGTGCTTGGGGTTTGGGG